TGCAGTTTTATAAAACAGTAAGAGATAAATATATATGTACATAATCTGGCTTTATTGAACATAGTAATATACAATCTTCTGGGAAAAGGGTGTCGGAGTTCATTTATTAACAGGGGACTAGAGACCTGAATATGCAAATATTGTTTTAAGTTGCAATAAAAACAGGCCTTCCTGATGACAATGAACACTAATGGAGAGCAATGTGTACAAGGAACACATGTGGATGAATTAAACAGCTATAAATACAAAAGTTGTTGGTCTGTCATTCAAACCAGTACAAATAGTCGATGCAGTGCATCTGCTCATCAAGCAGGGTCATAGTTTGCATACAAATAGAAACCTACAGAAATACTTAATTATATTCACAAAATATACACATAAAATAACAATGTAGAACATTCATCCATCCATCCATCCATCTTCTCCCGCTTATCCGTGGTCGGGTCGCGGGGGTAGCAGTTCCAGCAGAGAGCCCCAAACTTTCTTTTCCCTGGCGACATCAACCAGCTCTGACTGGGGGATCCCAAGGCGCTCCCAGGCCAGCGAAGAGATATAATCCCTCCACCTGGTCCTAGGTCTACCCCTTGGTCTCTTCCCAGCTGGACGTGCCTGGAACACCTCCCTAGGGAGGCGCCCAGGTGGCATCCTAACTAGGTGCCCGAACCACCTCAACTGGCTCCTTTCGACGCGAAGGAGGAGCGGCTCAACTCCGAGTCCCTCCCTGATGACCGAACTTCTCACCTTATCCCTAAGGGAGACACCAGCCACCCTGCGGAGAAAAACCCATCTCGGCCGCTTGTATCCGCGATCTCGTTCTTTCGGTCATGACCCATCCTTCATGACCATAGGTGAGGGTAGGAACGAAAATGGCCCGGAAGACCGAGAGCTTTGCCTTCTGGCTCAGCTCCCTTTTCGTCACAACGGTGCGGTAAAGCGACTGCAGTACCGCTCCCGCTGCTCCGATTCTCCGGCCCATCTCACGCTCCATTGTTCCCTCACTCGAGAACAAGACCCCGAGATACTTGAACTCCTTCACTTGGGGTAAGGACTCATTCCCTACCTGGAGTGGACAGTCCATCGGTTTCCTGCTGAGAACCATGGCCTCAGATTTGGAGGTGCTGATCCTCATCCCAGCCGCTTCACACTCGGTTGCGAACCGATCCAGTGAGTGCTGAAGGTCGCAGACCGATGAAGCCATTAGAACCACATCATCTGCAAAAAAGCAGTGGTGCAATCCTTAGTCCACCGAACTGCAGACCCCCTCCCCCATGACTACGCCTCGAAATCCGATCCATGTATATTACAAACAGGATTGGTGACAAAGCGCAGCCCTGGCGGAGGCCAACCCTCACCGGAAATGGGTCCGACTTACTGCCGAGGACCCGGACACAGCTCTCGCTTTGGGAGTACAGAGATTGGATGGCCCTGAGTAGAGACCCCCTCACCCCATACTCCCGCAGCACCTCCCACAGTAACTCCCTGGGAACTCGGTCATACGCCTTCTCCAAGTCTACAAAACACATGTAGACCGGATAAGCGTACTCCCAGGCCCCCTCCAGGATCCTTGCGAGAGTAAAAAGCTGATCCGTCGTTCCACGACCAGGACGGAATCCGCATTGTTCCTCCTCAATCTGAGGTTCGACAATCGGCCTGACCCTCCTTTCGAGTACCTTAGAGTAAACTTTCCCGGGGAGGCTGAGTAGTGTGATGCCTCTGTAATTGGCACACACCCTCTGATCCCCCTTTTTAAATAGGGGAACCACCACCCCGGTCTGCCACTCCTTCGGTACTGTTTCCGACTTCCACGCAACGTTGATGAGACGTGTCAACCATGACAGTCCCTCAACACCCAGAGCCTTCAGCATTTCCGGGCGGATCTCATCCACCCCCGGGGCTTTGCCACTGTGGAGTTGTTTGACGACCTCAGTGACCTCCCCCCGGGAGATTGGTGTTGATCCCCCGTCATACTCCAGCTCTGCCTCTAACATAGAGGGCGGAGTTGTCGGGTTCAGGAGTTCCTCAAAGTGTTCCTTCCAACGCCCTAACACTCCATCAGTTGAGGTCAACAACGTCCCATCCTTACTGTACACAGCTTGGATGGTTCCCTGCTTCCCCCTCCTGAGGTGTCGGACAGTTTTCCAGAACAACTTTGGTGCCGCCCGAAAGTCCTTCTCCATGTCTTCTCCGAACTTCTCCCACACCCGCTGCTTTGCCTCGGCCACGGATGAGGCTGCTGCCCTTCGGGCCTGTCGGTACCTTGCAACTGCCTCGGGAGTCCCCCGGGATAACAAATCCCTGAAGGCCTCCTTCTTCAGTCGGACGGCTTCCCTGACCACCGGTGTCCACCAGGAGGTTCGAGGGTTACCGCCCCTTGAGGCACCTAGGACCTTGAGACCACAGCTCCCCGCCGCGGCTTCGGCAATAGAGGCTTTGAACACCGACCACTCTGGTTCAATGTCCCCAACCTCCACAGGAATGCCCGAAAAGCTCCGCCGGAGGTGTGAGTTGAAGGCCTCCTGAACTTGGGCCTCCTCCAGACGTTCCCAGTTCACCCGAACTACACGTTTGGGCTTACCAGGTCTATCCAGAGGCTTCCCCCGCCACTCGACCCAACTCACCACCAGATGGTGATCAGTTGACAACTCCGCCCCTCTCTTTACCCGAGTGTCCAAAACATACGGCCTCAGGTCCGATGATACGATAACGAAATCGATCATGGACCTTCTGCCTAGGGTGCTCTGGTACCACGTACACTTATGAGCATCCTTATGTTCGAACATGGTGTTTGTTATGGCCAATCCATGACTAGCACAGAAGTCCAGTAACAAACCACCACTCCGGTTCAGATCAGGGGGGCCGTTCCTCCCAATCACGCCCCTCCAAGTGTCTCCATCATTGCCCACATGTGCGTTGAAGTCTCCCAGCAAGATTAAAGAGTCCCCTTCAGGAGCCCCATACAGGACTCTTTCCAGGGTCTCCAAGAAGGCCGTATACTCTGAACTGCTGTTGGGTGCATAAGCACACACAACAGTCAGAGTTTTCCCCCCCCATAACCCGCAGGCGTAGGGAGGCGACCCTCTCGTCCACTGGGGTAAACTCCAACAAAGAAGCACCTAACCGGGGACTTGTGAGTATCCCCACACCCGCCCGGCGCCTCACACCTTGAGCAACTCCGGAGAAGAATAGAGTCCAACCCCTATCCAGAAGTAAGGTTCCAGAGCCGACGCTGTGCGTAGAGGTGAGCCCAACCAGATCCAACTGGTAACGCTCCACCTCCCGCACAAGCTCCGGCTCCTTCCCCCCCAGAGAGGTGACGTTCCACGTCCCCGTAGAACATTCATTGTCTTCTAAATTGTGTCAACAATTTTCAGGCAAGTGTACAGTGAAACAAATAAAAATAGGATAACGCTGGCTAAATGAAAGAGCCTAATAAAGCCCATGCCTGTGGAATGAAATATAATGTCTAAAGGGCAGTTCATGGCCACCATCACCATGGCATTATATTTCTATATTATATGTAGCTTCTACATAACCTTCTACATTCAACAACTCGGGCCCTGACACACCAAGCCCTATTCAGATTGGTGTGTCCCGCACCGTCGTGTCTTTTCGGCCGTGCCGACACCTTCCGCTGCCGATTGACCAAGTTGAATCGGCAGCGGAGGCTGTCGGCAAAATAAATCACTCCGATTGGCTGTTCAGCTTAGCGAATCAGTGCATGAGAAGCGAAACGGAAGTGAGGTACGCAAACAAACGATTAAGAAGGCAAACATCAGACAGCTATTATTTGTCTCTTCTTGCTATCTGCTTCCACAAGCAACAGTCCAAGGGCTGATACCGCCATACATGCCAAACACGCCAAACACGGCAAACATGTTTCCGATGGACGAGTGAAAATGGAACACACACGCTATTTGTTGTTTGTATATCACGTAGTCTGTCTTCCGGTTGCCTCTTTTGAATGACAAATACACACTACTGCAGCCTGCTGGTAAGGAGAGTTATTGCCACTCACGCATGCGTAGTGCGTACGTGCTACTTGGCCGTCGGCTGAAGTCTTTGCGGTGTGTTCCAGTGTGACTGTTTGGCCAAGACGCAGGAGACGTGAGGCAACACAACAGTCGTGTTCCGTCGGGACGTGTTGTTTGGTGTCAGTTTGGTGTGTCAGGGCCTACCACGTATAAAGAGTTGGTAGTCATGCAAGTGTGGTGGTGAGATGGAGCTGAGTAGCTGGGCTGGGGTCAGAAATCCGATTATCCGGGTCACTGATAAAAGCAAACAAGCTCAATCATATACAAAAAACACACACACACATCCATACACACCCTCTCACTGCAGTTTATTTATGTTCAACTATTACACAAAAGTTTATTCTACCAGCAACACACTGAGTCCTCACTGGAGGCGGGGGGTCGACGATGTTCTGAGGCTCCGCTGGGGTTAAGCCAGCAGTTGTGTAGCAGTCCGAGTTCACTGGCTGGGACCTGACATACAGGGCAATGGGGCTGAAATGCCCCGTCTTATCAGCCTCTGCCTCAAAGACAGAGGGGAGGAGGGTGATGAATGAAGTAGAGAAGAAGGGAGGATACAAAAACAGTTCATACAGCCTGACACCATTGCTTTTATTATCCTTTGGTGTGCATTTTGAAGAGAAGAAGAACATGCAACCACAGACCTTAAAAAGAACCAATCATTGGCACTCCATAATTGACACCAGGCCATGGTTGGACGTCTTTTCAACGCCAACTGAGCTGATTTAAAGTACAAAAGTAGTCAGTCCTATTACATCAGTTTTTCATCCCGGAGTTTGCCTTTTTATGTGTTATTAGCCTGACCCTTAACCTACTTCAGCTATACCATAGTTGTAATGTACAGATATTGTAGGAAGCAACATTTTTAATATCCATGGCACAGGATTGTAATTCAAGGGTTTGGCTGAATTGCCTCTTCTGGCAATAGAGTTGCTCATTTGCAACCAGTTCATGAAAGATTCAACAATATGGTCTATATTGCATTTTATATAACATTGCATATTTGTTTTATAAAAACGTGTTCATGTTAATGATGCTTTAATCATGCATTGTTAATTCATTCGATCAGTATTGTTAAATTAGCTATACCATGCTTGTCTGTTCACAAATGAAAGGGCTCATAACAGATATACATAATTACAACAAAATCAAAGTGGACAAACAATCCTAACACAATATTAAAGAACCAGGTTCTTGTTCAATTACTTGTAGGGCAGTAGCCTATGTGCAAGACTGGATAAGAACACAGGGTTAATTTACACTAATTGTTGAGTTTGTTTTAACATAACGTTTATGTGAATTGACAATTTTCAGAATTGAATATCCACTGATACAAAAAAAAAGTAGCTGTACCGTTTTTCAAGACTACTTTCATCTGTTGGCACCGTGTGCAGGTTTTCTATCTCAATCGGTGCCAGTGTTAATAAGAGACACCTTTAATAAGAACATCCTCTTGGATGATGGATGTCATGAGGAAGCAAACACACATGAGCTTATATTTAGACACCACATGGGTTTAACATGTCACCATCTCTACTTAATTGGAAAATGTGCATAATAATATGCAAATCCACACAAGTAGATTATTATGAATATGTGTTGGCATGTTGTATAATTGATGATGATAGGTTTAGGATTCTATTTTTGCCGGTTCTTTAAATGAAAACGATCCCAGAGCTGTCATCAAGAAATAATTGGCAACCAGTAGAAGAAACCTTTTTACTTCAATTAACAACACTACAATAAATACTTACAATAAAAATGAAAACGATCACAATGTTAGCGTATAAAGGCTTAAATCTTCTCTGGGGTAAGATTGGCTGTTGCCAGGATACAGGTTACTGGAAAAAGTATTTCTGCAGTTCACTGTAGTGGGTTTACTGTGTTTTATATTTCTCCCACTATTTCCATTGTGTTTACATTCTTTGTTACACTACATAAATGTGGCGCACTTAAACTAGTTTATGTGTTTTAAGAACCATTTTTCCTAGTGTTCCTAAAGTCAGGTACTGTGTCTTCTGTAAACAAAAAAAAGAAGACATTTGTGATACCAGATTGATTACAGTTTTGAGCTGACACAAGCTATTCTATGATAGTCATTTAATCATGCCGTGAGGATTGAAAGTTTATTTCTGTCTATAGATAAACAGGTTGTCAGCACTTACTGAAAACGTTTACAGGTGCTGGACCAAAAAATCAAACTAGGCAAGAATAAGACAAAGATCTGCACATTGTATTGAAAGGCTTCCAGAAATCTAATCGGACAATGCCTGAGGAAGATCTGTGTTATATCGAAACGTTGCACAATTAAGATGTGGGAGCTTTTAATACAGTGTGCAGATCTTTTGTTAATTTCTGTCTAAAGGTATGTCAAGACACAGGAAATCATGGAAAGGGAGTTAAGCGAGTTGTCTATATATTTCGTCATTATACATCACATTTCACGGTCATTATTTGCATGTGCCAGTCTACAGTATATTCAGCCAGGCCAATGTATTCGTGGAACACATCATAAAACCCCTTTGAAGATGTTGCCTCACATCCTTTGTACTCCCATCAGTGAAGGGAAATTAAGCCAATGAACCAAAACATAGCGAGTGTTGTGGGAATGAGTTCAGTCAGTCACACTGGATCCAGTCAGGACAACGGGTTCACTCATTCCCTCTAGTGTGCTCTAAATGTCATGGATAAGAATGTGTCATTTTAAAAACACATGCACAATCACTATCATGTGTTGAACTGCATGCTTGTCGCAAGCACACATAAATTAAAACACACAACGAAGTAACGGATCTACCTCTGGATCTACAGCCTAGTTAGCTTGGCCATTGCAACTTGTCCCGTCCACTCAGACAGGGGATATAGGATGGAGAGGGAAAAAGTGTCATACATTTTTCTAAATATTGGGGTAAATAAACATCAAAAGGTAAAGACAGAGAGATGCAGTACCTGTTTGAAATGTTTCCAGAGCCTTGGGCCCACTCACTCTGAGCTCCTTGGTCATGTTGGCAATAAGAGCTGAATCATCTGTTCTCAAAACACTCACTTTCCAGGAGAGTGCTTAAAAAGAAATACAATGCACTGAGGTGGCATCAATGAATGCTTGGCAAGGGTCTGTCATCTTTGTATTGTGTGTAAATATGTGTGTTTTCTCGTGCATGTGTGTGAAAGTGAGTGCACGTGTGATTTCCAGAAAGACGAACTTGTGGCTTAAACAGGGTCCCTGTAAGACAGAGAGAAGAGAGAGAAAGGTATAATTAGTGTAAGAACGGTAACTGCGGACAATGTGTGAGAGAGACATGGAGAGAAAGAGGGGGAGCCTGGTATGTTGAGTAATTAAAGGGTTATATTTGACCATATTCAAACATACAGATATATGCAAACACCTCCACACACACCTCCACCATTTTACATGCGTCCACATCTGCCTGCATAACACACATTGGTATGATGTAACAGCATGCTCCAGTTCCGTCTTGCTGTGAAGGTTGGCATCCATTCCAGGCTGAATTTAACATTTGAATGTATTCAGTCCCTCGCTGCCAATGTTGTTTACAAAGACCTTGTGAAACTCGTCTAGGAACCTGTGCCAGGTAGTTCACACCTCCACCTCCACCTCCTCCGCGTGATGTGTTAGAGCAGGCAGCACTTTTGACAGCACTGAGAGCCCCTTTCAGCCAGAGAACCTATAAGCTGGCAAAAAATTCCAACTTTCTGTGTTGTTTGGTAATTAGGTAGGTTGGGAAGTCATGTTTCGATATAATTGGTACTGTGTCTCTGTGCTTTAAAAGGCAAACATGGGCCTACTTTTTCTTTAGTTAAATTGAAATTGCAAATTAAATCTATTTCTCAAATGTTTGCAGTATGTGTGCTTGTATGATTAGCTAAGACTGACTGTGGGCTGGTGTGAAAATGTGAGCTGAATAATAAGTAGCCTGCCCATATGCATACAATGGCTACAAGTCTATATTTGATTAACACAAACTATAGTTTGCTTGATTCAAATATATAAAAGGTTTAACACACATTGTATGTATATGCAATTGGTTATTATAGATAAATGCATATAGACCTATAAAAGTCTCAAAAACCAACCAGTGCAAACAAATACCTTAGGGCAAATGTTCAGTCTTATTTGTCATGTTCAATTATTTAACCTTTTGTCTGTACTTGTCTGGTACATGATTGCCTCTGAGAGTTATATGTTCGCCCTGCAAAATGTGTTGTGTATTTTGTGAGTTGTTTACTTAGACTATCCCAAATGTTGCCATTTTCAAATATATAAAAATCTGTAGTTTTGTATTATTGGTTCGTTTCATAATCCTCTTTGCAAATGTTGGTAGTCCGCCAGCTGCTGTCAATAATTTCCGAGAGACCCATAGCTGCAGAAAATGACGTGTCAAACTGATAATACATTTTGAACAGAAATATTCTTGTCATTATATGAAGTTTAAATGATATTACTGTATCGTGTAGTGACTTTAACATGTTGTTTCCTACAACCTTAAAATCATTTAAAAATACAAGCCAGAAAACACTTAATGTCCTTGTTATTTATAAACGTGTGAATTGTATGCATTTGATTGTTGACAGGCTTTCCAATATCAGTCACCAGTCATCGAAAAAGGCCCACCAGAGAGTAATAACGTATAATTGTATCCAGTGTGACTAATGAGGGAGCAGTATGCAGTGTCTGTCTCTAGGGAACACTGGCAGGTCACAGAACTGCTGACAGGCTCATATTGGTTCTTTGAGTGAGTGAACTGTTGACCTTTTGGTGATGGGACCATTTCTCTTTTAAACGAGGCTGCGCTGCTGCAATATGCATATATGCTGTCGGTAAAGAAGACTGGTTGTCGAGACACATTTCACTGAGACACGATTGCTCTTTGCTCTTAAATGACTGCATGATTAATGCTGCGTAGATGAGGTGGAGGGACACCACTCTGCAGACCCTGTTGGGCTATCCTGTCTTATCAAAGAGGAAGCAGAATACAGGCAGGTCACCATGGGAGAGGGCGAGATTGAGGGAGGGGGCAGCAGAGAGAGTGAGATTGTGTGACACTGAGGCCCCGGCCACACGAGGACGATAACGGTCGTTTCCGTTACCGTTCTGTGTCATATAGACCATTCGGCCACACTAGGACGACAGAGTATGGCACTAAACGACTGCGGCAGCGATAACGGGTCCCAAGGTGGATAGAACGGCATACGCAACGCTTTGGGGGGTCCAACAGCTTCGTGTGGAGAAGCCCCTCACTGCAGTGCGCAGTACCTCAAGATGGGCGGGAGCTCAACATGGGCGGAGCCTCAACGCCCCTCCTTCTCAACCTTTGAGGCACGTGACGAGCTTCACAGATGACGCGTTGCATCCTGTTTCCGGGGTAGCAGTTCTGTTCTGTTAATCATGTCGTCAGAGTAAAATGGAGGTAAGTAATCCCTGAATAAATTAACTATTTGTTTTTGCTGCGGTTTAAAATGTGTTGATTTTAAGTCTCACTTATTTGCTGTCAAATGTGCGCTGTCGCTACTAGGACGTGCATGTCCTAATGATGCAGAAACTAACTACATTTAATAACTATTAATTAACTACAAACTACATTTGTGTTGCTTCAAAATAGTAGGATTGCTGTATAAGCAAAGTCCTGAAAACTTTAGGAAAGTTTTTATATTATTTTTGCACTACTTGAGAAATACTAATAACTTACTATGCATAACCTATATTTCAATTCGATTTTTACAAAATAAATGTATATGCAGCTTATTTTATTCCTGCCTATTGCCTAACTATTTTGTTCGTGTTTATTTTCTTTGACCAGAAACACATCACACACTGATGAAAGGGATGTTCTCAGGAATGAGGAAAAACAACTACTTTTTGAACATGACAACACCCTTAACACACATATTTCTGCAAAGAAATATACTGCACCACTACAATGTGACAACAAACAACAAAGCTAAAGAACAATACAGAAAAATCATCCCAGCAGATATGGAAATACAGCTTGATGTCAATGGGAGGATATCATTAGGTGAAGCATTTCGTAGAATCATTATGTTCTTGTTATTTTATGTGGTTATCTGGAGAACTAATATTATTTAATTTCAACAGCTCCTCCTTCACAAGTTGGGATGGCCACTGCATTTTCAGAACACCACAGAGATGGTCAGGAGCAACAGGAGTGTAAGTTATCTGCTTGATATTGACAACTTGTATTCATACAAGTTGTACTGTATACAGACATACATTTTGTGTTGTTGATTTGTTATCAAGTGAATGATGCCAAGGACCAGGGAGACTTTACTAGTATCAACACAATTATGGCAAGCAAAGGTTGCTGGGGACAGGAGCTTCAGGAGGTTCAAAACAAACAAGTAAAGTGAACTAGTCAACAGTTCAAAATATTGTATGTATGCTAAATATTACTTAAAATGCCGGTTTTCATTTTCTTTTTTATTCCTTTCGCTGGCACAGGTTCTGGACAAGACCCAAAATCCAAACACACATCTAGCCATTGTGAGCAAGATGGTTCTCACGCGGTCAGATCTTTGGAGTTTGGGTTTGGCTAATGACATGGATGGGATGGTAATCAGAGTGATCACGCTCTTTGTTTCTTGTACTTTTTCTAACTGATTTTGTTTTAATTGTTGACATGTTTCATGTACTCTGTATTTTACTGACGGTGTGTTTGTATTCTGCCAGATCCTAAACAGCTGTCTTACAGTTATAGAGAAGGTATTGAAGCTGTTCTAAAATATGTAAATATAAAAACATACTATATTATACCAAACACTTATAAGATATTACATTATGAAACTACATCTGTTACAGAGAGTAGATGGCGTGTTTGCTGCCAACAGCCATGTTATAGCTGCCTGGTTTCCACCATCTTCTCTGAATCCGATGCAACACCTGCCGGTATTTTGATCATGATTATCCATGTTGCTGCTCCATATTCTTGTACCAACTCATTACTGTAGTCACATCAACACAACTGGTTTTTGCTTTTCCAGGACAATGCAGCAAATCTCCAATGGCTTCTCCTTCCAGTGTGGGAACCTGGACACTGGACACTCTGTGTAAGTACATGTAGTTCAGTCTTTGCTATTGTTGTTTACTGTACAATGAAGTTTGCCATGCCGCAAATAGTGTTTCTATCTTTAAATTCAACGCTTCATTTAGTTGTATAATACAGATCCTACAACTTTATAATATAACGTTTGTATGTCAAAGTATACCTGTTGATATTGGAACGTGTGATATTAACAGATACTGAGGCCACAAGCTAGGGAGATTTTCTTTCTAGATCCCCTCCGTGGCACTGGCTGGAGAGATGATAGTCGCACCAAACCATTCAGGTCTTTTGGTGCACAGTTACATCACATCCGGATAGTGGTAGTTCTGTTTTAGACCACTTGTCTATCTTTTTTTAATCTATGGCTCTGTTTTATTTGAACTAACATGGGATACATTGTATTAAATAAAAGGCATTGAACAGAACCACAGATGCCACTTGACAGCGGGGCTGTTCTGTTTTACCCCTTAATGACTTTTATTTTGGAAGTTCAAGTTTGTTCCTGTTCCAACAGTGTTCAAATATTTTCTGCATGATTTTTGAGCACTTATAAAGTTGAATTAAATTGTACTTATTCTTAACTTTCACATACATTGTGTTCACAGAAACCTTGCTCAGATCTTGTGCCCTGGGGCTTGGGCAAGTCTTGGTGTGGATGATGTCCAGGTTAGATTTGTTAAAATTATTCTACTGAAGAGTATGATGTAATTGTCCTTTTTGACACTTTTGACTTTTCACACTACAGGGCCTACCAAGACAAGGGTTCTCGAACAATTGTGGGGTGTTTGTTTTGATGGTAAGATACTGGATATACAGTATACATATAGTAGTCCTATTTTTCTGTTTATAATAATGTATACAAATGTATAATGCTTTCAGCTCCACTCCATTATTACTCATAGTTTGAGACATGCTGTGATTTATTTATATCCAAAACAACATTCACGGAGGAATATTATTTGTCAATGAACACCATAGCATCACAACAACCTAACATAATATATTATTTCTTTATTTACAGTACGCATTTTACATTGTGGCAAGAGCCCAATTTGATTTCAATGAGGTATGTAGAAATAAGGGTTTCATATTTCAGTTTTTCATTAATATCACTTGTGGATACAAGACTTTTCAGGACATGTGT